AGGCTGATGAGGGCGTGTATATGGGGAGGTCTACTGATCCCCCTCATTTCTATGTATATCAATGCTTTTTTAGGGATTTGGGTGTCTGTCTTCCTTTTACCCAGTTTGAGTGCGATTTTTTGAATTTCATCAACGCGGCTCCTTGCTAGTTGCATCCCAATAGTTGGGGTTTTTTGAGGGCTTTTCAGGTCCTGTGTACAGTTCTAGGTATAGAGGTGTCTCTTCGCGTCTTTCTTCATTTTTATCAATTGAAAATGGGCGTTCCGCCTTATGGCATTTTGTCCAGATCCATTGTACAAGTGATTGTGTTGCTCTAAGCTGTTGTTCATGCTGAAAAGGTTAAAATGTATAAGTTGTGTAATGTATAAAGTTATATGTAATGTTGTACGATGAATATGAAGAAGTTGTTAAGTTGACCATGTTGTATATGTTGTTTAAAGATGTTTTTTTTTATGATTATTGATGTTGTGTAATGAGATATAAGACACGGTTGAATGATGTTGTCTTTAAGTTGAAAATTGACACGTTGAGTTATAAGTCGTTAAGTATTTATTAATGTTGTGATTATATGTTGCTTCTGTTCACAAGCTTACTTTTTTTTTCCTTATGCTTGGGATTGCGATGATTATACTTAGTATGAGAGTAAAACAAAACTAGAGGGTTGAGTTGTGCTATTGGTGGTGAACCACATTGGAGACGGCTCAATTTTTTGTTATTTCCTACTTTGGTGTAGTTAGGTCTTGTATAGACACTTGACCAGTGATTAAGTTTATTTTGTATACAGTGATTATTTCTTTTGTATGTATTATATATGTACATGAACAATTATGATTTTATTTCCTTCATATATAATTGCGTGCATGAAATTTACCTACTTGTTACGTTATAACCTAGGTAGGTATTTGATGTTTCTACTTCTTCACTATTGTTGCTAAACTATATTAAGTATAGTAATTTATTAGGTTGTTATATCTGTGAGTGTGATTTTTTTGTTACCCTTAGTTCTAACTTTGTGACATGATTTTAAATAATTTTTAACTAATTTAAGACATGAAATTTGTCCCACTAAATTCATTTACATTAAAATTATGAAATCTAATTAATATTTAAACTAAAAAGATTATAAATATAGTAAAAATTATATAAAAAATCTATCTTACAACTAAAAATTAATTTAAAATTATATTTTTAAAATTTTTAATTATTCGTTGAACTCATTTTTACTATCCTTACGACCCTTTCTATTTCAAACATAACTTGTATTCAAAAGTATTAGTCAAAACAGAAAGTGTCTCAATATTAAAAGAAAATATAACTTTTTAGAAAGATTAAATCGATCTAAATTAAAAAGATCAAAATAAATATTTTAAAAAATAAAGAATTAAAAATTTTAATTTAGACTATAAGACAAATAATATAATATAATATATCAAAGCTTCAATTTTGGTTTTATTCCTTTTCTTCCCCCAAAAGCATAACATGTTAGGATCTTTGATAAGGTCGAGCCTTCGTCTTAATGAAGTTGGTTAGTAAATGACTACCAGACGAACATAGATAGAAGAGTACAATTGGATATATGTCTTTGTATTGTTGTGGACATTGATTTTCCATCCCTTTGCATGTCACAGCTATTTCTCATCACTTCAGAACTATATTAAGGCAATTTAACATTAATTGGATGCCTCCAATTAAGGGACAAAATCAACACAAGTAAATTCACAAACAAGATAACTGCAAAAGAATATCAACATGTAATAATATGGAAGAAATACACAACCAAACATCACAACTTTCATGATTTGCAATACAAGGAAACATGTTTTGACATCAAACAAGATAAGCCTCATAGAGTTTTAACATGGAAAGTTTATTACCCGTCAAATCCTTCCTCAGTATACACCACATTCAGATAATTTACATCATTGATCTCTCATATGACAACAATTCTCAATCCCATGGACTTCTTATTACGTGTGGCAAGCTGGAAACTATCTACAATCTTCCACATGATTGCCATAGCGCGCTCAAAACAACAAATAATTCAATGTGCCAAACACTTTCTGTTGAGCTAAAGAATGAACAAAGTAAATTCTTCTTGAAATATTGAAAAACCATAAGCATGGATAAACAGAACTGATTGCTAATTTGAACACTTCAGAAGATTATTATGAACCAATTTGCACAAAACCAAATCAGTTATATGTTGAAGTGTTTCAGCCTTTTCTTCCAAAGAATAGAAGCTTACGAAATCCTTTTGCCGCTTTTGAAGAGTCTTCATCACTGTTCCATTTCTTCCTAGAGTGGACTGGTTCTGGCATCACTTGGTTACTGGGTGGAGGGGTAGTAGTGATTTGTTTCTCAGTGACTTTAAGCAAGATAGCATCACTTTCATCTATTTCTTGATTAACCTTTGAATTCACAGCAGAAACTGTTAGGGGTTTGCTAGGTAATGCAGTTGTAGGACTTGTGATCACATCAGTTATATGTTGAGGTTTGTTATCACCAGGAAGTGAAGATAACTTGTTTGGTGCTTCTTCACCTTTTGACTGATTTCCTCTCAACAAGTGATCATGATTTGGCAAAGGTGGATCAACATTACCATGCACTTGCTCTCTTTCTCCATTGTTTGTCAAACCAAGATTACTGTTTTTTGGTTCAACAGATTGCATGACACCAGAGTTCATTGGCAATGCTGCTGAGACTTCCATTACATTTTTAGCCAGGCCATTTGTGCCATCAAGAACTTTCCCATTTGTTTTCTTCACGTCTTCTTTGTGACTTGAAGATTTGACCTCTTTTGGTCCCTGCTTCTTCTTTTCGGTGCCAGTAGTCTTTTTCTGCAATGGTACACCATTTGCCTTCAAGGACGGTTTCTTAGTTGGAACTGGTTTTGCTTGATTTGGTGAAACTTTCTGCTGACTCACTCGGGTAGTTGCAAGGCGTTTAATGGTGGAATTCCTGAGGACAGGTTTGTTCAATTTCTTAGTCTCCTCATTGGATGGATGTATCTTAGGATTTTCTTTCTTTGTAGAAGTCAAGGATGTCCTAGTTTCTATTCCAGTTTTCTTAGAGGCACTTCTTTCCGCAATTCTTTTCTGCCGCTGAATCATCAAGTCTTCTTTTCTCTTTCTAGTTTCCTCTTCCTATAAATAAAAGAGGGCAATAAAGGTGAAAAAATAAAAGATCAGTAAAAGACTTTGGTGCTCCAATGACTTATGATGTTACAACTGTAGAAAATATTAGGAAAAGTAAAAGTCACATATGTATTGGAACAATAGAAAGTGCTACTTTTGTCTTAGTTGTATAATCAAAGAACTTTCCATGTCTATTTGGGGAAGCTGACTGAAAGTGTTGTTTTCTATGAACCATATAAGCAAAGAAATGAACAAGAAATTTCTACTTTGTGAAAATAAATAGACAGCAGTTTAATTCAATTAAATTTCAAAACAATTGTTAACTCACAGCATGGTTAGAATTGTTAAAATTACTTGTAGTTGGATTTAACAATGCATGTGACATACAAGAAGTGGGGGCACAAATTCAAATTCAATGAAATTTTAAAACAATTGAAAACATCCAACACATTCAGAATTATTAAGATCACTTGCAGTTTGATTTATGAATACGGGAGAGAGGGGGTAGGGGGAGCACAAAGGAAGTTACTTAAGGTGAAAATTCCAAAACAATCTAGACTTTCCACATCCTATCATAACATTAAAGTGATCAAACCAAACTATGAAAATCAAGGGTTCATAGAAATAGGTAATGTTCATTATATAATTAAACGACCTTGCTTCTAATTTTCAGTTCATGACCCCCTTAATTGAGTATAGTATAGTTTTTTCAGCTCATTTAGTAAATCGACTTAACAATTGAAAAAATATTAACACTTTAAACAGGATCTGCTCAAACTGCTTAGAGTAAAGTTTTAACTTTTAAGTCCACTTTGTAAACTGTTTCTAAGCAAGAATTTTGATACCCTTTAATATGCCAAACTGAACAACCTTTTGGTTGGTTCTGGATCCAATAAAAGCAATTAAGCATCCCGAAAGAGAAGTGATATACTAATATTTAATACTTTCCTCTTTCTTTTACTTAACCTTTCAAGGAACTTGGTAGAGCCAAGACAATTGTTAGTTTACCTTCTCAGATTTGCTCTTTACAACTCTAGTTCTGCTTCCAGGGGATGCTTTGCTTCTTGAAGTGACATCGGGTTTGCTTTTCCCAAGAGATGCATTTAGAGCCTTAGACTTTGCCTCTTTACTTGAAACTTTCCCATTTTGCACTCTAGTTGTTTTTGTATCAGGACCCTCATGCTTAGATGGTTGGTTTTTGTCTGTTTCAACTTCAGAAAGCTTTTTATTAGCTTCATTTGTAGAAATGTTATTCTCATAATCCATTTCAATGCTCCACGGTGCCGAACTTTGCTGTGCAGCTGAATCACGGTCAAGAACCATGAAGAGATCATCTGGCTCATGAGAATTTATGGTTTCAGTCTTATTGTGTGAACCTTCTTGTGTTCTGTTCATGAATTCAGTAGCCCCAACAATGTCTGAAACCAAGCCTAGATCAACTGCCGACTGAGAATTAAATTGATCTTCAGATGGTCGAGCTTGAATCATGAAAGAGTCATCAGTCATAATGTCTTTCTTGTTTTTCTCTACATGTAAAGAATCAGTAGCTGATGATGAAACAGAAATGCCATTAAACATGCTGAAATCTCGGTTTTGATCCTCATTTCCTGGTTTATCAGATTGATTGATAGTGAACCAATCCTCTTCTTTCTGGCATTTAGTGAGGGAAGATTTTGGGCCATTCACAGATAGAGTGGACATAGAATAGCTAGCAGATTCATCAATTCTGCGAGAAAACAACATCTCCTCATTTGTACCATTACTTTTATTCACAAATGAAGGTGCATCCATTCCTTCCTTAAAGTTATCAATGCGATTTTGACCCTCACTGCTGAATCCCCTCTCTGCCACAACAAAGGAATCATTTGAAACTACTCGAGTTTTACTAACGTCTGCTTTGTGGTTAAATGCATTTGACCTTCCATCCTCAAAATTCTGATTTACAATATAATCCTCCTGAAACTTCACAGGCTCCTTTTCTGTATCAAGAGTAGAATCATCATCTCTCAAAAGAAGATTCTGAAAAGCATCCCAGTTGTTATTGCCTTTTACAACATTGGAATCAGCATCATTTGATCCATTTAGCATGCTAGGGTGCTTTGCACTATTGTGTTTCTTATGGTGATGGGAACTTGACTTGTGTCTTCTCTCCAGTGATCCTACTGCTTCCTCTACCTGTTGTTTCAGGGAATCTCCCTTGATAAATTCTTCCTCATTAGACAAACTCCCCTCTGTGACACTACCCTTTTCACCATCTCCATTAGAGGTTATATAGTTAATATTGCGTATAACTACTTTCCTTGAGGACTTCTTTCCATGCTTCTTTTTGTGCATATGTTCTGTGGAAGAGTGCTTTTTACCTTGCCTTGAATGGTCATCTGAATCACTCTCATAACTAGAGTTGGAGGATGCTGTTGAGCTATCTTCTTCGGACTGCTCCAGGACTTGAGAATGTTTCTTCTTCTTCTTCTTCTTGTATGATGATTTATGATAATCCTTCTCTTGGTCATGAACAATATGAGAGTCTTCCACATTTGGAGGCCATTGCATATTCCCCGGATAATATGAAGAGGGAACCTGCATCCCAGGATAGAGGTACCCTTGGTATGGGGGCATTTGTTGAAATGCATGACCCTGAAAGTTGTGAATGTACTGAGGGAGATGGTTTGGCCAGGACATTGGTATTTGAGCTCTTCCATCTGTTGATGGTGTTTGACCTGATGTTGGCAAGCCATAATCTGCAAATTTTCAAAATCAATAAATAAAAAAACATCTAGATCTACCTGTACAAGATTTAAGTTGTTCAATAGACTTTGTTTCAAAAAAATTATCCCACATACGCTGGAAATTCCAAGTAGGAATTTATACAAGTATAATCAAGCATAAGGCAACCACAATCTCCCAACTGACAGGGAATTCATGTATTAATTCTGAATTTTCTCAAAAGGACTAAATATTTTTGTTTAATGAAGAAAATAGACTAACAGTGGTGACACTAGCACAATATTATATTTCCATCAAAGATCACTATTGCTAAAGGCAAATGGTTTAAAAAAGAACATATATGTTAAGTTCATTTTTTGTAACCTTTGTACTTGGGAAGGGGCAAAGACTGAGATACTGAATCCATTTAGCAGTAAAGGAGGATACCTTGGCCTATGTCCAAACTTGCATGACTTGGAGTTGACTCAGAAATTGAGGCATCAACTATGCCATTTAGTTTACTGCTTGTATCATCTTCACCAGCAAGTATGATTCCAGATGTCCTCAAATATGGCAATTCGGGCTGTGCAGCCACCTGCATGGCTGCTATCTCATCTATCCAGAGCTTGTCTTCATTCTTTTGTTTGCACAGCTCTAAGAAATTTATGCATGCTTCCCTACATGAGACAAAATTATATTAAATAGCAAAACATAAAATGTTTAATGGAGCTAATCTTTCATACCATAATCCTATTGTATTCAATGAGTCCACTCAGCAATTATGTTGAAGGACAAAATTAACATGAATCAAATAAAGTTGAGAGAGACCGAGATATTGAGCCAAATTCAAATATCAAAAGAATACTGTTTGTCCGGCTGATGAGTGCATGGTGCATCTATAGTTTAACTAGTCCTTATTAAGGACTTCTAAAGTCCAACCAGTTAATGGAAACTAACAGAATTTCCCTTCTCATAACTTTTGGTGTATTAGAGAAGCAAGTCACTATGGATTTTTATTTAATTTTTTTTACCATTAATCATTTAAAAAGACTTTCAGCCAAACATGGAAGCAATATGTATTTGCTTGAGGTAGGCGTCATTCATGTCAATATTCAATATTCATGTCATATCTCAAAAGGAACACTGTCTAAATATTAAAAATATGTCGGTGACAAAACATGAGATTAAAATGAAAAGCAAGTAATGAAGAGTTAATAAGATGTGAATCACTATACCCAAACATAAATATAAGCATAAATGAACTACCATTCAAGTGAGGTAAAGGTTTTATTTATCATTAATATTATTTTTCCATTTAAAGTGAACTGTTCTGATTGATCAATGTCATTTTGTGGTATGCTTTCTGACCTTAAACGTGAAGCTCCAAATGCATCAGCAAAACATATAAGATCATCCACAGATTCTGGGTAAAATCCTGCAACTAAAGCACGGGCATAGGCCATTGCTTGTTCTTTGCAAAGCATAGCTTTACGATTATCTAGAACACGTTGAAGGCGAACCCTGTTCATTCAAAAATTGATGATAAATCATTGCAAGTTATATAGGTACTTCCTAAAGAATAAGATGTTATACAAGACAACCTAAGGAAGACACCGAAAATTCAATACCTGGAGTTTTCTTCATATCCATCTTGATTGCTTCCGGCTGGTTCATCTTTAAGCTAAAACACATCAGGTGATAAGAGTTTCAATATCTTACTAAAGTTCTGTTTTGGTAAATTTTTCCATAAACACTTCTAAGAAATAAAAATGAAATGGATTTTTTCATAAGATAAAATTAGCTTTGTATATGCTATTCTGTAGAAGCTCTCTCCCATTACCTTATCAAAAATCTTATTTTTAACTTATATATAAGTTAGTTTTAATTTATAGAGAAACTCATTTACATTTTCTATCCTACTTTTCTCTACTATAAGTGCTTTTGGTGAAGTTTATCCAAACAAGTTTTAAAACAAAGGAAAACATTAGCAAGAGTCACATTTACATACCTTAGAGGAAGTTGTTGACCTTCTAACACGCCCATCTGCAAATGACATGTTTCCTGTTAATCCCAGCTCAAAATATGAAGTTGAAGTTTCAAGTATTTTTTTTTTAATTTTATTTACTTTCATTATTACAATATAAGAAACACTGCAAATTTCCAGCCAACGTAACCTGCTTTCACCTTTTCTCTTTTCCCAGATCTTATTTAAAATGGTAACGGGAGATAAACTAGTAGAAAGGCGAAAAAAGATATGACAACTAATTGTTGGCTTCAGAAAAATGGGTAAGGATAATGCCGATGGGTTCATATGCAGTCTTGTAACAGAAGATTGTGGACTAATTTACCCTCCCAAGGAACATTTTGGGATAACCATAGCATAGTTACTAGTTAGCATCTGACATAGTGACATGCCACCATTTTAGTTAGGCCACTTATCCACGCACAAAAAAAAAAATAAAAGACCATAAAATAGAATTTTACAAAATATTTAAAATTATACCAACATTCAACTGATTCAAGTAATTTGGTTTCCTTTCAATCAAATTAGCCATAGATAAGGCCATATATAACATCTCAGTTTACTGTCACACACTATTCATAACTCTAAAATCATATATCTATTAACATTTATAATTGAATAGTTGTATTTGGGTAGAAGAATGAAAAGAAAATAATCGAGAAGTAGGATGTTGTGGGATATCAAATCAACACAACAATGAGTCAATAACGTGATTAAGATTTCGCATCCATACCTTCTGCTGCTTCTGCCACCAAATTGCTCCTCTCACTTGACTGAATCGACCCTTCAATCTGCACAATCTCCTTTTCTATTGTGACAAACCTCTCTAGAACTTCTGGAGTGCTAATAAATCTAACAAACCTATAGAAAATGAACAAAAACAGACAAACAACTTCGGTCTTACTAATCTACACACAAGTAATAAAAGGAGGCTAATCCTTATTCCTTGGTCTGATCCAAAATCCACACTTTTCTTCATTCAGAACATTCTAATCCAATTCATCAAACCACCAAAATTGTTGCAAATAAAAAAAAAAAAAGAAAAACCTTTGGAGGGTGGCTTTGGTGAACCAGGGGGCATGTCCACCAAGTGCACGCAGAGTAATGGAATAGCCACCTTTGGAAATCTGATCCTTGGCACTCTTAAGGTGAGAAAGAAATGGTTCTAACAGCCCAGAAGCCAGTCTTTCACTCACACCTCCACCAACAACAACAAGGTCACACCTTCAACATAAAAAAAAAAAAAAAAAAAAAAAACAAAAAAAAAAAAAAA